GATCACTCTTAATTTTTTTGTTAGTCTATGACAATATTAATGGATGACTTTATTTGGGAAAAGGCTACATCTATTTTTAAAAGTGGGAGGAGTGGGGGAGATCACGGTCAGTTACTACAAAATCTATTTAAGGACGATAAAATTACTGTAGCTTCTATTTGACCTAGTTAGAGCTTGTTGTGAATTCTAACCTATTCATCTCTCCTCAAGGCATTAAGCTGGGTCATTCATCTGTCCCAGGTAAACAGGTACATGTTTTCATAGTTTGAAAGGCAATCTTTACCTGTAGTTGGATATTCAGAGCATATACCTATCAATCCTTGCTGATTGCATTTAAACCTTTTGGCCCATAGGTCTTTTAGGTTTTTTTTTTTAAGGGTATTTTTTTTAGAGCAATTTTAGTTTCATAACACAATTAAGAGGAACATACAGAGATTCCCCATGTACCCCCTACCCACACACATATATAGTCCTCCCCACTGTCAGCATCCCCCACCAGAGTGGTGCATTTGTCACCATCAGTGAATTTACACTGACACATCATAATGTCCTAAAGTCCATAATGTGCATTAGGGTTCACATTGGTCGTGTACATTCTACAGATTTGGACATACCCAGCATCACAGTATGTTCACTACCCTAAAAATTCTCTCTGCCCGTCTGTTCATCCCTCCCCCCTCCAACTCCTCTCTCCATAGTTTTGCCTATTCCAGAATGTCATGTAGTTGGACTCTCAGCCTTTTGAGATTGGCTTCTTCCACTTAGTTTTATGTTTTTAATGTTCTTTCATGGCTTGATAGCTCATTCCTTTTTAGTGTTGAATAATATTCTGTTGTTTGTATATACCAAGGTTTGTTTATTCATTCTCCTACTGGAAGACTTCTTGGTTGCTTTCAAGTTTTGACTGTTATGGGTAATGCTGCTATAAACACTCATGCACGTTTTTTGTGGACATTAAGTTTTCAGTTCCTTAGCATTAAGTACCAGTGAGCATTAATTGCTGGATCCTATGGTAAGAGTATGTTTAGTTTTGTAAGAGACTGCCATCTTCCAAAGTAGCTGTACCATTTTGCATTCCCACCAGCGATGGATGAGAGTTCCCGTTGCTCTACATCCTTGTCAGCATTTGGTGGTGTCAGTATTCTGGACTTTGACTGTTCTGATAGGTGTGTGGTGATATCTCATTGTTGTTTTAATTTGCATTTCCCTGATGTCTTTTGCAAACATTTTCTCTCAGTCTGTGGTTTGTCTTTTCATTCTCTTGACAGTGTCTTACACAGAGCAGATTTTTTTTTCATTTTAATGAAATCCAACTTACTAGTTCTTTCATGGATCATGCCTGTGGTTTTGTATCTAAAAAGTCATCACCAAATTAAAGATCATCTAGATTTTCTTCTGTGTTATCTTCTAGGAGTTTTATAGTTTTGTGCTTTACATTTTTATCTGTGATTCATTTTGAGTTAATTTTTATAAAGGATGTAAGACCTATGTCTAGATTTGTTTTGTGTGTGTGTGTGTGTTTTACATGTGGGTATCCACTTGTTCCAGCACCATTTGTTGAAAATACTATCTTTTCTCCACTGTATTGCCTTTGTTTCTTTGTCAAAGATCAGTTGATTATATGGGTCTATTTCTGGGCTCTCCATTCTGTTTCATTGATCTATTTTTGTGTTCTTTTGCCTGTACTACATTGTCTTGATTACTGTAGCTTTATAGTAAGTCTTGGAGTCAGGTAGGTCTGACTTTATTCTTTTCAATATTGTTTTGGTTATTCTGAGTCTTTTCCCTCTCCATAAACACTGTAGAATCAGTTTGTCCATCTCCACAAAAGAACTTGCTGTGATTTTGATTGGAATTGCACTGGATCTATAGATAAAGTTGGGAAGAACTCATGTCATAACAGTATTGAGTCTTCCTAGCCATGAACATAGAATATCTCTTTAATTTTTTCCTTTTTTTGTTTATTCATCAGAGTTCCATAGTTTCCTCATACAATCTTGTACATACTTTGTTAGATTTATACCTAAGTATTTTATTGTTTTGGGTGCTAATATAAATTCTTATTTGTTTTAATTTCACATTTCACTTGTTCATTGCTGGTATATAGCAGAACAATTGACGTTTGTATGTTATCCTTGTATCTTGAAACTATATTTTTTCATCCTTTTCAAAGACAGTCTCAGTCTTTTCTAGATTCCTAGGCTCATGCATCTGCTCTTAAAATAGGAATCCCTTTGGAAAGAGTAACCAGTAGCGTGAGGAGTTGTGGGCGGCAGGATCCATTAGCTTTCAGGGTTGCCTGAAGAGAGGATGTTAATGTGGAACATATTTCTTTTTATTAAAGTGAAGGTGTTTTTTTTTTTATAATAACAGCCTAAGCATGATGAGGTAACCCCCACCCCAAACAGGAGCAAATGGGGTTTTTGTTTGTTTTAAAGATTGCCTGGGAGAAAGTTTTTTGAACTTAAGGTGGTACCTAATCAGATCAACTGTTTTGTCTTCCCTTTCTTTTAACCTCGGATGTTAGTCTGAGGCTCACCCAAGAGTGAGGAGCCTTGGGTTCTTGTCCCATCTCAGTGATCTCCATACTGTTCTTGAAGGAGCACTTCACTGATGTGCTCTGTAGCTGCCGAGATGTGTGGCTTCCATTTGTCAGCTTTGGTCAGAGGATTTGGGCAAGAAGTAAGGGTAACTTTTTTTTTTAAATTCTCACCCAAGGATATCTTTCCATTTATCTTTAGACAGAGTGGGAGGGACGGGGAGAGAGAGACATCGATGTCGCACAACTCCGACTAGGGCCGGGGATGAACCGCAACCCAGATACGTGCCCTGGGCCGGAAGCAAATCCGTGACTCTTTGGTCCGCGGGCCGACGCTCTGACCACTGAGCCAAACCAGCCAGGGCACGGGTAACTATTTAGTAACTGTTTTACCTTTTTTGTAGCTAGAATTCAAGAGAAGTTAATGAAATTAATCCAAGAAGTTAATGAAATGAATCCATGTCCAGTAATAGAAAGTTGGTCTCTATTAATTTCCCTTGAAGTACATAAAGCCAAGGAAGAAAAATGTTTGTAAAGGAAAGAACAGGGAACCTTGACATTTTTAGATCCTCACATTTGAAACTAGTCTTCATTTTCAAGAATTAAAGCTGATTAATGTGTACTTGTTAAAAGTATTATATTTTATGTTACTAATTCTTCCGACAACTGTGTGAGACACCTGCTGTTTAGAGCCGTGCTGGGCATGGGGGGTGCTGGGTGAACGCAGACGGGTCTGTTCTAGTCTCCTGAAGCCGACAGGTTTGATGGGGGAGTCATTACTAATAGCACATGTCATGGTTTTAGTTGTATTAATTCTACAAAGGAAGGAACTGGAGTGCCGAGAGAGCTGACTTTCTTTCCCTGCCTCTTCACATGATGGCCTGTGTGAGCAGCCGTTATCTCAGGGGAGGGCTGGCCGCCCACGGGAGCGTGGGGCACAGCCTTCCTGCCCCATCCCCGCTTCCCCTCTCCCACTCCTTGCTTGGACTTTGTCTTTACAACTTGAACTGAGTGTTCATTTAGCTCATTTCCTGTCTTAGCGCTTTTCCCAGAAGTGCTTATGCCCTCAAACCCTCTGCCTCTCCGAGTATGCGTAAGGTGTTGGCATGAAGGAATCTAGAACTTGAAGAAAGATCTGGTAGGTAGTCCAGTCTTTCATTTCACGTAAGGAAGGTGAGGACAAAGGAAGAGAAGAAACATCCACGGTCACACAGCAAGTTATAGTCAGAGCCAGAACTAAAGCCAGGGCTTTGAGTCTTAGCCCAGTGTTTTCTGTTATGTTCCCGCAGGAGCGGCATTAGTCAGCAAGGACCCAGTCTCAGGAATATCCTTGTCTGTGCAGAAACACTAAGGAGGTGGCACAGCTAGAGGGAAAAAGACAAGCCCCAAGGAGTCCGTAAACCATGGACCTCACATAACCTAGTGGTTATTCCATACAGATTTACCAAGAGGACCTTTAGCTGGGAGCCAAGGAAAGGAAGTAGTATACTCACTTCCCACCATCAGGGAAGTCATATTTTAAGGACCATAGAAGTCTAACAGGTATGGAGAGAGCACCGTAGAGCAGCCTGTCAGGGGCCCAGGTGCACACCCCATGCACAGGAGGGTTTCGGAGCAGGTGGAGATGGGACCAGGGTCCTGGATGAGGAGGAAAGCTTTCCCTGCAGAGGTGGGCTCGGCAGGTAGGCAGAGGAGTGGAGGCAGGACTTTGCTGGGACCCGGAGAAGAAAGATCTAGAATTTTTATTGTTGAAAGTATTACAGATGTCCCCTTTTTTCCCATTGACCCCCTCCTGCCAGGCGGGAGCTAATTTTAGAAGACCTTGAACTCTGAGCAGTTGTGGAGATAGGCGGTGCCATGCTTGCCTTTCTCGGGGGTGACTGATGGACACTGAGCTTTTGGAAGAGAAGTCTGGCATGTTTAGGGGAGACTGCTAGAAGCCTCGGGGATGGATTGAGGAAGTCCTGGACACAGGTAGTGTCATTGCGTATTTTGAGCTTGTGTCCTTGTCTGCAAAAATGATAAATCTGGTTAAATCTAAGTTTAACACAGAAAGTATGGTTTATAGTGATTTTTTTCAGCCATGTCTAGGGGTAGCCTTCAAAATAATTGTAAACCCTAAGCATCTGCGTTTTATTTTATAAGGCATTTTGAAATAGCTGAGAACCGAATAAAAGACACTGCAAATACAAAATGTCACTTCTTTTCGCTTCCATATCTCGTGCTAAGTGAAATACCATTTCATACTATTGCCAGTATTGAAATCAGCTTTCCTTTTTTATATAAAGATTTAACCTTTTGAGGGTTCCAAAACCCTGGCATTGTCCTTTGGCTGAATAGGGGAGGGGCAGTCTGGTGGGGAGAAAGTGGCGCAAGAGGGTGAGAGTATCTATATTAGCTCCTTAAACTTGACCGTCAGCATGTAAAAACTTACAGTGTTGTCTTCTCTTTGTCTCTTTAGGAATATAAACAGAAGCTTGCTCGGGTAACCCAGGTCCGCAAGGAACTGAAGTCCCATATTCAGAGCTTGCCAGACCTCTCATTGCTGCCCAACGTCACAGGGGGCTTGGCCCCCCTACCCTCTGCTGGTGACCTGTTTTCTACTGACTAGGGCAGGTGTCATGCCCCAGAGTCCCATCTCTACCAGCAGAAAGAAGAGGGCAGTTCATGGTTGGAAATAACCTTGTAGCCCCTGGTCTAGCCCTCCTTCCACCTGGCCCCCAGCCTCCATAGAGAGCCACAGACTCTGATTCTCCTCTCCAGCCTCTCTTGTTGAGCACAATTCAGAACAGTGGCGAGTGGAATCCAGTTTAGATTGATATTTGGAAAGAATATAAACTCTCCCACTTTGTGTTTTTATGCCCCTGTTGGTTTTTTATTCTTAGCTTTCTCTTGATACCCAAGAAGTTATGAAAATCATGTGTACTTCTGGAAGCTTTCAGAAGAATCTTGTCCTTGATGATAACATTGTGTCATGAAAACAGCTTCTGTCTGAGCTGGGCTCATTCACGTCAGTACAGGCTTCCACTGAGGGACTCACCTGGAGTCATCGGCTCTCCTGACTCCATCAACCCCGAAGGGAGGCACCGCTGGCAAGTAGCTTTGCCATAAGGAGTTTGCCAAATCTCTGATTCTCCCTTACCATTACGTCTAGCCGTGTGCTGTCAAGGGCCAGGTGAATTTGTTTTGTAAGCAGACTAGGGAATCTAGCAAGAAGATTCAAAGCTGATCTGGGACATAAAATCATAGTTCAGAGACAGAGCGACAGGAATTATAAGGATGAGTTAAGAATGAGTAATTTGCTTCAGGTTTCTACAAACAGCCTTTCCAAGCTGCCCTTATGAAGGGTCCACCCGGTATCATAGAGCAAGAGCACGTTCCTAAAAACAAGCTTTTGACCCCAGTTGGATGTGAAGGTGCTTGTTAGAAATGGCAGTGGTGGGCCCCAAAAGCTAAAGGCGTACTGAGCATGTAGGCTCGGTGTGGGTGTTGCTTTAACCCTTCCCTTTGGGGAGTAGGGCACACACTAACAATTCACTGTGTGGGCGGATGTCCTCAGGATGGTGACTAAACTTGAATATCTCCCTTGCAAATATGACACTGTACATGTTCATCTGTCTGTCAGTTCACGCCATTGCACGTGTCCCTGTGCCCAGAAGTACTTTGCATCACATGTTACTGAACAGCTCATCTCGGGCAGGGGAAGGGGGAAAGTCGGGTATATTAATTTTGGGTTTTAATTCTGTTATCATGTCAGCAGACATTACTAATATATAATGTAGTTAGAGAGGATTTTTACCTTGATTTTAGTAAAGGTTAGGCCTGCTACCTATAAATCATTCTAATTTGGCAGGCTTATTATTGACATTAGAAAGGGCAGAACAATTTGCCCCAATAGTGTAATAGAAATTATAGCCCAGAGGCTGAAATCCCAAAGCTATAAAAGGGGATCCAGTGGAGGGGGCTTCAGGTTCTCCATTATTTTGAGGATACCAAAAAGCCAATTACATGTAATTTTACATGTTAAACATGTTAAAACATAACCTGTGTTTTAAAAAGTGTAGCAGGCTTCCCTTGAAGGAGTCCTCCTACCTGCCAGAATTGAGAACAAGGAAAAGTCATAGCAGGTGTTCAGTTGAACTCTATGTAGAACCTAGTAGCATTTAAGCTATTTTCCGATTTGAATATGGACTGTGTGTTGTTTCTTATTGACACTGCCTGTTGTCCTGTCATTACTAAATTAATGAGTCTATATCTCAAGTTTTCCTCCCAGAGGCCATAGGGCAGTGGGTAACTTTACTAAATTGCAAGATGAATTCCAGTCTTTGCTGTTTCTGCACACAGGCCCCTCCCCGTGCAGTGTGCTGCTTTCGTCCTACTTAGAGCGTGTTTCTGAACAGACCCCTGGGCATTCTGGATGCTTTCACCAAGGAAGCAAGCAGACATTGCTCTGATCAGCTAGATGAAATGTAACAGAATGAATCTTGCCCACTGTGATGTTTTATCTGATTGAGTCTAACCAGCAATTGGTGCATAATTATTACAGCAAGAGCAAGAAATGAAACTAGCAATTATGTAAAATGAATGTGTTGGCCTCTAACACCTGTTACTACTAGTAGACTTCCTGTGAGGAAGTTAGTTTGGGGTTTTGTTTGTTTGTTTGTTTTTAATGAAATGCTTTTGTTTTTTAAATCTAATTCTCCCATATCCTCCCCAAGTGTGCTTTACTTCATTTGTTTAATTTAAGGATCTGGCGGGGTGGGGTGGGTGGTTTTTGTTTTGTGTTTTTTCTTCCTAGGGCACCCATCGACCTCAAAGGACCTTTCCTTTAGGTCATATTCCTCCAAAAGTCTTTGTTCTTCCCCCTTTTTTCTTAAAGAATATTTTTAAAGCTTAAATTTGTATATTAATTTAGGACTTTATTTAGAAGTATAGGCTGTCTTTGGTGGCAGCAGTATATTCTGAAATGTCTCATAGATATATATTTTTGAATAAAGATGGTGTTGAACGACACTGTGCGATGTTTTCTTCCCCACCCTCTGCAGAGCGGTCGGCGCCGTCTTCGTAAGCACTGGGCAGGTAGTGATCACCGGCGGGGAGTGTGCTGTCTGTGCAGAGTCACGTCCCTCGGGACTTCTTGTGGCTCTTCGTGGCCCATAAGTACTCAGCACTCACAGAGTATTTTCCAGGGGCTTAATTAGCTTTAATTAGCCAACCCACATAGTACCCAGGAGAAGTACTGCCACAGTTTTATCCTCATTGTACAGAAGTGGAAAGTGACGGAGAGAAGTTAAATGACTTTCTCTCCAGTACCACAGTCCTGACAGATTAAAACTTGCAAGTTCTTTGATTTTGTTTGCACCGCTAGGCCTCCTGAGAGACATTTGATTTTGGCAAAACAGTGAAAACCACTCTGAGCAGGGAGAAGAAAACCGTGAGATAATTCAAACCCAAGTGGTATGCCTTTAAAAATATTTTTGTGGGTTTCCTTTCTCCTTTTCACTTTTAAATTCAATGAAAGCATGTTGACTAAGTATTACTGGTTAACATTCAAAGTAATAGAAAGATGTTTTGAAATCGTTCCCTTTGAAGTAATTGTTTGGAAAGATATTTTAACCTTTCCACTGGGTGAGGGCGGCATTTTCCAGGAGGACAGTTACCCATTTATCTCCTGATGCAAAAAACTGCAATAGCTGTGGACCTTCAAGACTAAATGCAGCTCAAGTTGAAGTCTAGAATTAGGAGAGTTGAGACTGCATTACCCAGGTTCTGTCTGAAAATATAAAGGTTGAATGTAATATGTGGATCTCAGGAGACCGTCTGTGTCCCCAGGTTTTCATGGCCTGGTTAATGTCTTCACTTCTGCCTATAAAGAATAAGTCCATAATTCCTCTGGTTTAATTAGCACTTCAGGCTACAAACTGTGACTCAGAGGTCCTCAGACTGAAGATGGAACTACCCACGAGTTCATGAATCTGTCAAAATGCTTAACTTTTGAGATGAAAGCCATTAACTGTCTGTGTGACCTTCCTGGGCCAGGAGTTTCTCTCTGGGCCTCAGCTGTCTTATCTTTGAAGTGTGGTGTTGGGCACAGTTATTTCTAGGCTCCCTGCCAACCCTAAAAGCTTATGATTGTTGTGTTGCATGAGAAGAATGCAGGACTGGAAGTCAGAACGGTGGATGGCATGTTCTGGGTCCCCATGTTTGTTAGAGGAAGAATATCGCCACTGGGTATGCAAAGAGCACATCCTTTTTTTTTTTTTAATCCTCACCTGAGGACATTTTTCCATGTTTTGTTCAGATAGAGCAGGAGGGAGAGAGGAAGAGAGAGAGAAAGAAACATCGTTATGAAGGGACACATCGAGTGGCTGCCACCCGCATGACCAACCAGGGCCGGGGACAAACTGCAACCGAGGTACATGCCCTTAGCGGGAACCGAACCCGGGTCTCTCTGTACCGCAGGTGGACGCTCTAACCGCTGAGCCAAACCGGCCAGGGCACAAAGAGCACATCCTTTATGAAAGGGTGAGAACATCGGAGCCTGCCAAGACTAGGAAGATAAGGGTAAAGACAGCAGTTCACTGGCCACAATCTGCACTTGGTTTATTTCAGATATTTAAGGAAAAGCTGTTTTCCAGCCTGGTTTGCTATCTTATGTTTTCCTGGGATCATTCATCCTGCTCAATTCATTCCCATCACCACCTTCATGGGATTTTCCATCTAAAAATTACCCTTCCAGTCCTGGCTGGTGTGGCTCAGTTGGTTGAGCACTGTCCCATGCACAGAAGGGTTGCCAGTTCAATTCCCAGTCAGGGTGCATATGTGCCCAGGTTGCGGGTTCCGTCTCCAGTCAGGGTGGGGATTGGAAGGCAACGATGGATGTTTCTCTTTCACATCGATGTTTCCCTCCCTCTCCCTTCCTCTCTCTTTAAAAATCAATAAAAACATTTTTAAAGTTAAAATTACTCTTCTACTCTGAGGCACAGATTCAATTAAGGATACATTCTCCTGTATAGCAGATTGGGATTCATATAGCTTTATGCGGTGTTGAAATTTTTAGACTCTGAAATAGTTTGCATTAAAAATTCATTTCTAGCACTGGTTTGATAAATATTAAAATTAGCAGTATAAATCAGAATTTTTCTAGTTTTCTTTAATGAATAAGAGGCAACTGTGACAAGTGATAGCCCACATCTGATCTCTCACTGTAATGACCTTGGGCAAGTCCCTCAAGCCTCCCAGGACCTGCGAAGCTTAAGGAAGTGAATTAAGTTGACTGAACAACCTCTCAAGTCCTGTTCAGATCTGCAGTTCTATGACTGGGCTTTCAGAATAATTTTTCCTACCGGAAAGCTCATTAACAGATAGTTTTTGAATATGTTTTTATTGATTTCAGAGAGAAGACGAGAGAGGGAGAGAGAGACATCCATGAGAGAGAAACATTAATCGGCTGCCTCCTGCACGCCCCCTGCTGGGGAATCAAGCCTGCAACCCAGGCATATGCCCTGACCAGGAATCAAGCCAGTGACCTGGTGCATGGGGTGACACTCAACCAACTGAGCTGCACCAGCCGGGCACTCCACAGATTCTTTAATGCCAGTTATCTAAGTTTTTAGTTACAAAAATGGCCAACTAGTTACAAATATACTATAAATGAGATGTTTGTAAAAAGGGCAAATTAGGGGTTCAGTGGTAGCTGTTACTACTTTCAACAATGACTGTAGGTATCTAAATTCACGGGTAACAAGAGGTTGGAAGAGAGGTGTTTTGGAAGTTGGCAATAGATACCACATACCTATACCATATGCTATCTTTACAATGGAGATGGTCCAAAACCCTTAAATTCTTGTTGCCCACATTAGGGTGTGAAAGAGGAGTTAGAGTGGAAGGAATAGGATTTTCGGTGGGGATTCTTTGAAGAGATCCCCTTGTGTGATTTGAGTCTCCTAAGGGAGAGCAGTGGATGCCACTCACCTCATCTTCAAGGCTAGAGAAGGGGCCTCAGTGGAGCTTAATATGTGCCCCCTGTAGGGTGGTGATCCGGTGGACTAGACAGACCCCTGCCCGGAAAAATCTAATGGAGCAGATGCTGGTGGCTGGCTCGGTGTTTTGATGATGTACCAAGGGGGGGCTGTGTGGATGGAGCCTCATTCGTAGAGTTGGTCGAGCAGAAGGTGCGTGCCTGCCTCCCGAGGACCAGAGGTGAGCGGCGTGCAGGAGACCGGCATGGGTCGTCTCGGAGTCCGACCAAGAGGCAGGGGTCTGACTCCTCAAGGAGGTGAACTGACCCGCAGTGCTGAGGAACAAGCAGAAGGTAAAGAGCCAGGGGTAGGTACCACCCTGGAGAGATGCCTGGGAGAGGACGAGCCCTCAGGATGCCGGAGGAGCCTACATGAGTAGTGAAACTCGCGCCAAGCCAGTGCCAGTCACCACGACACGTCAAGTAAAGATTTCCTCTTGCTTTGCCTGCCCTCCCTCCCTCCCTCTGCCCTAACCCTTACGCAACGCCGGCCCCCCACCCTGGCCCCCACCGCAGCGGGCGGGAAGCCTCAACTTCAAACGGTAAGCCATTTTGCACCTTAAGGGACGTTGTTGTTATTATTATTATTATTACTCTTGTTGTTGTTAACTAAGATTACCTAGAGAAGTTGTGGAGACCCGAGTTTTCTTCTAGAGTCAGCAGATGTACTAGCCCCACCAACTGGATTTCAAGGGGCAGTTGGAGACAAAAATAAAGTTGCCCGGTGCATCGAGGCCCACAAGCCTGCTTGCTTACTGCAGTGGTTGCATATTTTCGGACCTTTAATTCTCCCTTCACTGTTCTATTTTTGTGAACTTGAAAAGTACATTTCCACAACTTAGGTTGGGTTGTTAATTAGTGAAGGCATGAATTCTCCTGTGTGTACTGGGAACACATGGGGTTTTTTACTGTGGTAAAATGCACATGAAATAAATTTACCATTTTCTCCATTTGAAAAGTGTCCAATTCAGTGGCATTTACTCCATTGGTCACCACAGTCCAGCCCCGGAACAACCCCACACCTATTCAGCAGTGACTCATTCCCGCCCTGCTCCCCCGCTGCCCGTGCAACACCAGTCTGCCTTTGTCGGTGTGAAATTGCCTGAGCTGAATGTTTACTATAAATGAAATGGAACCCTCTGCAGCTGTAAGAAAGGGAGACCTCTTACCCTTTGAGAGGACATGGAGCGACCTGGAGAGTATTATGCTGAGCAAAATAAGCCAATCAGAGAAAGACAAGTACCACATGATCTCACTTATTTGTGGAATATAATGAACAAAATAAGTTGTCAACCCAAAGAGATCCAGAGTCATGGAAGGAGGGAACAGACTGACAAACCTCAGAGGGATGGGGGTGGAGTGGATGGGAAGAGATACACCAAAGAACTTATATGCATATATGCACAACCAATGCACATGGATACTAGGCTGGGGAAGGCAGGAGGTGGGAGAGGTAAGGAGAAGGTCAGTGGGGAAAAGGGGACACCTGTAATACTTTCAACAGTTATATATATAACACACACACTGTATAAATAAATGAAATCTACAGCCCTGGCCAGATGCCCAGTTAGAGAATAGGCCCACGGACCGAAGGTTTGTGTGTTCAATTCCAGGTCAAGGGCACATACCTGGATCGCACGTTTGATCCCTAACTCTGGTCAGGGTCATGCAGGAGGCAATCAATCAATGTGTTTCTCTCACATCGATGGTTCTCAGTCTCCCTCCCTCCCTCCCTTCTACTCTTATCTAAAAATCAATGGAAAAATATCCTTGGGTGAGGATTAACAAATAAATAAATGAAATCTACAATATGTGACCTTTTGAGTCTGGCTTCTTTCACTCGGGGTAGTATATTCAAGGTTCATCATGTAGTATTTGTCAGAATTGTATTCCTTTTTATGGTTGAATAATAGTTCATTGTATGGATATGCCACAT